TTCTGGTGGCCCCCTGGCATGAGATGGGCCAGGGTGCCGAGTTGGTACTGGAGTACAAGCTCGAGAGAGAGAGAGAGAAAACACTGAGACAGCATTAGTAGAGGTGCAGTGTGGACAGACCAAGCCCCCAACCCTCGGCTGCCCCCCTCCTCCCCATCCTATTCCTCTGAGGCAAAAATAAAAACGTAGAAAAATCTCTGTACAGACTCCCCGGTAGGAAAACGGGGGCAGGGATGGTGGCTCTTCCTGGAGCTCACTCCCCACAATTAATTTACAACCCAAGTCCATGGCTCAAAAACAAAATCTGCAGAGGTGGCGTGGGGCCGCAGCCCTGCCCCCACCCCCGTGGCGCGGTGCTCAGAAGGCGGACAGCTGCGCCAGGCTGAGGCGGCAGTCGATGCTGGTGTTGTCCGGGCCCGTGTAGGCCAGGCCTAGGGGCTCTAGGAAGGCCCGGCAGGCGGCCTCGCCCTCGAAGGCCAGCTCGGCCTGCAGGTAGGAGACTGGCAGCGCAGGGCGGAAGCTACGGAAACAAGAGGAGAATGTGATGAGGCGGGCGGTGGGCAGGGGCCCCCACGAACAGGGAGTGGGTGCCCCCCTTCCGACACCCAAAGGGTTTCCTTAGCACATTACCTGCTGACCTCTGGTACCCACCCCTCACCCACCTCCCCACCTCTGGACCTTGGGGGGCCCTGATCCGGGGCTGACAGCCCCAATCCCAGTGGTGCCCCCTTTACCCTCACTTACCTGTGCGGGAGGCGGGAAGGAGGGGAGGGAAGGGCCTCACCGGCTCTTCCACTGCTCCCAGGCCTGAGCAGTCCCTCAGGAGAGGGCCACTGTGGCCGAGGGCAGGGGCCAGGCAGATGGCCCATGGGGACAGGCACAGGATGGGAGGGTTGACTGCTACTCTGGGGACCCGGCCCTCACGGGACTCCAACCCTGGGTCTGAGCGCCTCAGGGATGCCCTGGGCACAGGTGCCAGCCAGCACTTCCTACACATCCCACAGGAAAGTCTGGTTGTCACAAGAGACACTGCTTGTTGAGCAAGGGGCTGCGCCCGGAAGCAGCTGTCTAAGTGCTCGCTGCCTGAGCGAACCCTCGCCTGTAGGCCGAGTCATCTCCCTCACAAACCGCCCCCCCAATCCCCCCCGGGAACTGCTGGGCCGGGGCACAGCCACTGCGTGTCGCCTGGGACACTAGTGGCTCAGAGAACTCGGAATGGGCCTTGCCCCAAGCCCATGTGTGGCCCCAGCCCTACTGTCCATGGAGCCCAGGAGAGCCGGCTGCCCCCCCGAGCTGGCCTCCTGGCCAGCCTGCAGGGACCCGTCTGCCAAGGAAAGGCAGTGCCAGGCCAGGCCAGGCCCCTCTCACCTAGGCAAGCACACACACTAACAAGGAGGAGTCCCGGCCCCGCTACCCGAGCTGGAGTGAGCTCAAGAGCTCCCCCGCCGGGGCCTGTCGGGCTGCAGAGGGTGGACGCACTGCCAGGAGGCAGCTCCTGTGCATCCTCACCCCGTTTCTGCCCATGTCCCCCTCTATTTCCTGGCCCTAGAGCAGTGGTTCGCAACCTTCCTTAATGCCACGGCCCTTTAATACAGTTCCTCATGTGGTGACCCAACCATAAAATTACTTTCGTTGCTACTTCATCACTGTCATGTTGCTACTGTTATGAATTGTCATGTAAATATCTGATATGCAGGCTGTATTTAGGTGACCCCTGTGAAAGGGTCGTTCGACTCACCCCCCCACCCCACCCCCGCAAGGGTTCTCGACCCACAGGTTGAGAACTGCTGCCCTGGAGTGTCCCTAACCTTGGTTCGAACGTCCCGTCCCAGGCTCCAAACCATCCACATGGATCGAAAGCTAACAGACATGGCGTTCAGGGCCCTCGCCCTCGGAGAGGCCGACAGCGGGCCCCATTAGTGCTGTGGGGCGCCAGGCACTGTGGGCTGGTCAGCAGCATCCTGGACTCTACCCACCACAGGCCAGCAGCAGCCCTGGCTGTGACAACTGTGACAACAAAAGGCACCTCCTGACACGTCCCTGTCTCCCAGGAGGCTCACTGCCCTAAGAACAGAGTCCCCTCGCTCTCAAGCATGTGGCGGGCACCCAATGTCGGGGGACAGGCCCAGCCTGCCCGGCATCTCGCCGTTTCCCTAACATCTGGCACCCGCAGAAGACTCAAGTCAAGTGGGAATGGGCCCTGCCCCATTGGACCAGAAGCTGCCACGAGCAGGGCCATGTTTTCTAGTGTGTCTCCAGAGCAAGAGCTGTGGCAGGAGAGCCCCCGAGAGAAAGGCAAACAGAGGCCACGAAGGCAGGGAGCCCAGAGCTGACCAGCCAGGGTCCCAGGTGATGTGAGTGGGAAGAAAACCCGCAGGGGGTGGAGGGACCCCGGAACGGAAAGAAAGAATGGTGGAAGAGGGCCAGAGGGAGGGCCGAGCAAAGGGGAGCAGGAGGGACAGCAGGGGAGGACGAGACAGGGAGAAGGGGCCAGGACAGGCCGGGACTGGAGCTAGAGGCCTGCTCGCCAGGAATGGAGGGGGAAGAGGGGGGGACACGGGGGAGCTCAACTGAACATACGTTTTGATCATGGCCTTGAGGGCGGCTTTGCGCTCCCGGTCCACAAACTTGTCTATGAGGTAGCCAGACATACAGGGCGCGTGGCTGTAGAGCCGGAAGAAGCGGTGGTAGTTGCCCAGAGCCCAGGCTGCCCTCAGTGCCAAGGCATGGGCCACACAAGGGTCCGTCTTCAGCTCCCGCGTCAGGTAGGCCAGCTCCGTGGTGATGTCGCCCGAGTTGTTGGTGAAGATGTAGTAGAGGATGCGGTAGGCGGTGAACTCACCCACGTTGCCGGGCAGGCTCTCCGCGTACAGTGACTTGAGCTGCGTCTGGCACTGGTTGAACTCCTCGTGGTCACCCTGGTGGGCGGACAGGCGAGGAGGAGCAGTGTGAGGCTGGGGAGGAGCCTGGGAGCAGCCCGAGAGGAGCCCAGCAGCCCAGCAGCCCACTCACCTTCTCCAAGGCGATGCGGGCGTGTGTCTCGTACACCTCCACGGTGAATTCGGTGCGCACGCCTTGCACCTGGGGCAGCAAGGAGAGGAGTCAGGCCAGAGCAGGGCGGGACGCACCCCCCACCCCCAGCCCGTCACCCAGCCCCAGCCCCTCACCGTCAGGTCCTGCCGGATGGACTTCATCTGCTCGCAGGCGAAGGCATAATCCTGCTTCTCTTTCCACTGGGACTTGACCATGCACAGCGATTTCTTCAAGACCTGGAAGGCCGCCACATGGAGCTCAGTTACATGCAGGCAGAGCGGGGACACTCCAAACCCTGTTGAGCCCCCTAACTCGGTGTCTAAAATGAAGGCTGAGGCATCAAACCCGCCTAGTGGCCCACGCGTGAGGAAAAACCCAGACCGCGGGAGAGCTCCTGGGCCAGTCCCACGTCAGCGCCCGGCCTGCGCGCACCCGGGACATGAACACGCACGGCCATGTTCCTGGGCCTGTGAGGACCGGGTCCTCTGTCCCATCCCAAGTAGGACCCGGAGGCCTGGCAAGTCCCCGACAAGGCTGCGTGCTGGGGACCCAGGGCTCGGAGGCACAAGCTGTGCTCAGTTCACCCTCCCAGTGCCCACCCGGCCAGCCCGGCCCTGCCCTTCCCAGCACTTACCGCCACAGGGCGCACCGTGGACGGGTCGGGGGCGCAGGTGAGACGCAGGTAGTGCTTGGTGATGTCAGGGCAGGTGCCCACGATCTGCAGCTCCTGCCAGTCGGGGTCGCCCCCGCTGCTCTCCAGGCCGCCCACCTGCAGCACCAGGGGCTCGAGGCGCAGGCGGCGGGAATGTCCGTGCTGGAAGCGGGCTGCCCGCTTCTGCTTCTTCAGCTCGCGCTCGGGGTCCTCACCCCCCAGCGCCGCCATCCTCTTGCGGTTGCGCTTGGTGGACGCTAGATCATGCCTTGGGGGTGGGGGGGCGGTGAAGGAGACGGGCACTGAGCACCACCAGGCCTCTGCTACGTGGCCCAGGGGCACAGCTCCCTCCCTGGCCACCCACGCAAAGGCGGACTCACCTCTTGCCTCGCTGCGCCCTGCCTCGGCCCCGATCCATGTGGGCCCCCCGACCGCCCCGGCCCTTGGGGGGCGGGTTCCGGCGGCCCACAGGTTGACACTCGTTCCCGGAGTAGGAACTGTC